GAGGGCGGGGCGGGAACTGGGAGGAGGGGAGTTATGGGGGGGGAAAAAAAGAGGAACAAATGTAATCTGAACAATAAAGATTTAATTAAAAAAAAATTAGCCTATTATAGTTGGTCAAACATTTAATTAACTCACCTCAAAGGAAGTTTCGCGTTCAGATTTGTAATTGAAACAGATTATTGTGTTGCTCAGAGAGAACAGATGTGAGCAAAAAAGAATCCTAAAAATGTATCCTTATCAAAAGCAATTAGATGTCAATGGGAGAGTCACAGCAGCCCACCAGGTTGGGAGTTAAGTTTTGGGCTGCACGGTTTATCAAAATAATATTACCTCTCACACTTGCTAAAGGTTCCTCAACCTCCCGCTCAGTGGTGAAAAAGAGTTCAACTATACTGTTTCAGAAATCCTAAGTACTGACAAATTGCTTTTCCTTTTCAGGTAAAATAAATTTAGACTAAATAAAATCTTTCTTCAAAAGCACCATTGATTCTCAGTTGTTCAATTTTTTAATTTAAGTGAGAGATGAAGAATTGGTCAGTTCTATTGATGAGATCAGGCCTTGGCATGATTTTATTCAAATGGCAGATATGGTAGTTATTCATGTATATGTTAGCAAAATATGACTTCAAAGACAGCAAACTATAGACCATGGCTAGCTGCCTTGTGTTTTTTTTGTGTGTGTGTGTTTTTTTAATATTTTTTTTAAAAAATGTTTATTTACTTATTTTATTTTATTGATTTTAGAGCAGAAGGGAGAGGGATATCGAGATAGAAGCATCAATGAGAGAGACATTGATTGGCTGCCTACAGCATGCCCCCTAGAGGGAGTCAAGCCCACAACCTGAGCATGTGCCCTGACAGGGAATTGAACCGGGGAATTCTTGGTTTATGGGTTAATGTTCAGCCACTGAGGCATATAAGTCAGACTTAGCTGCCTGTTTTTATGAATAAAATTTTACTGGAACACAGCCATATCTATTTGTTACATACTGCCCATGGCTGCTTCTGCATTACAAGCAGAGTTTTGTAGCTGCAATACAGATTGTATGGCCTGCAAAGCCTAAAATATTTACTGGCCCTTTTAGAAAAAGTTTGTCAACCCAACGCTAAATTTATCAAAGTTTCTGTATATCCATTTGTGTCTTTTCCTCTGAATTTGTCTTTGTGAATCTATACCTTTCTCTCTTTTTTATCTTAACCTCTCCTCTCTATTTCCTACTCTATTTGATGTCCTATTTGTTCTTCCTATTTATATTTATGTTATTTGTTCTCAATTTTAAAGTGAATGGGCCCAACAGAATGGGAGAAAATATTTGCAAATCATATATCTGGTAAGAAACTTGTACCTATAATATGTAAAGAAGTTTTATAACTAATAATAAAAAGACATTCCTATTTAAAAATGGGCAAAGGCCCGGCAGGTATGGCTCAGTGGTTGAGTGTCTACCTATGAACCAGGAGGTCATGGTTCAATTCCTAGTGAGGGCATATGCCTGGGTTGTGGGCTCAATCCCCAGTAGGCGTGCAGGAGGCAGCCGATCAATGGTTCTCTCCCATCATTGATGTTTCTCCCTCTCCCTTCTTCTCTGAAATTTTTTAAAAAAAAATTTTTTTTAAAGGATAGTTAAAAACAAATGTTGGCAAAGATATGGAGAAATCAAAACCCTCACACACGCAGGTAAGAATGTAAAATGGTTCAGGCACTTGGGAAAACAGTCTGGCAGTTCCTCAGAGTTAAAGAAAGTTACCACTTGACCCAATAAGTCAACTTCTACATGTATATTCAAGAGAAATGAAAATATATGCCCACCCAAAAACTTGTACACAAATGTTCTTAGCAGTATTATTCACAATAGCCAAAAAGCGGAAACAACCCTAATTTAGTCCCTCAACTGATGAATGGAACATGAAACATATCCTATATAATAAAAGGCTAATATGCAAATTGTCCTCTCAACTGGGAGTTCGACCAGGGGGCAGGGCCAGCCGGCCAACCACCCACATCCACTCTCCCCAGCCTGCCTGGCTCGATCAGCCCCGACCTGTGCATGAATTCGTGCACTGGGCCTCTAGTCCATCTATATAATGGAATATTATTTGGTCATAAAAGGAAGGAAGTCCTAATACATGCTACAACCTGGATGAACCTTGAAAACATTACACTAGTGAACAGGCAAACTTATAGGGACAGAAAGTAAATTAGTGATAGCCTAAGGCTGGAAAGGGTAAAGAGGATTTGGGAAATGCCTGCTAACAGGTATACTGATTGTAGAGAGAGGGGAAGGGAGAGAGGAGAGAGAGGGAGAAAGGAAGAGAGGGAGAGGAAGAGAGGGAGAGAAAGAGAGGAAGAAACATCTATGGTTACCAGGAATCAAATCAGTAATCTAAGTATGTGCCCTGACCAAGAATTGAACCAGCAACCTTTCAGTGTATAGGACAATGCTCAACCAACTAAGCTATACCAGCCAGGGCAGGATTTCTTTATAGAGTGATAAAAATCTTCTAAAATTAGGTAGTAATGATTGCACAATTATGTGAATATACTAAGAACTACTGAATTGCAGTTCAAAGGGGTGAATTTGGCCCTAACGGGTTTGGCTCAGTGGATAGAGCGTTGGCCTGCGGACTGAAGGGTCCCAGGTTCGATTCTGGTCAAGGGCATGTACCTTGGTTGCGGGCACATCCCCAGTAGCGGGTGTGCAGGAGGCAGCTGATCCATGTTTCTCTCTCATTGATGTTTCTAACTCTCTATCCTTCTCCCTTCCTCTCTGTAAAAAATCAATAAAATATATTTAAAAAATAAATAAAGGGGTGAATTGGTCCGCAGACCAATGCTCTATCCACTGAACCAAACCAGCCAGGGCTGTGAAAGCATTCTGAAAGCTGTAAAGTACTATATTAATTTAAAGAATAATGTGAGAAAACTCATAATAGATTTTGAAAGGTCACAAACCTACAGGAAAATAATGAAAGACCACAAAAGTAAAAAGAAGTTTGTATTGTTTGTTTTCAAAGGGAAGTCTAAAAACCACGTTGGCCCAAGCAGTCTTGCTTAGATTTCTCCCATAGCCTCATAACTGGTCTTCCTGCTTCTACTCTTAACTTCTGTATAATCCATTCTCCACAAAGCAACCAGATTCTCTTTGAAAATTATATATCAGATAATGCCATTTCTTTGCTTAAAACCCTTAATGGTATCACACTGCACTTCAGGAAAAACCTAAATTCCTTACCATGGCCTACCAGTTCCTATACTATCAAGCCTCTCTCTCTGACCTTACCTTGAATTATTCCTCTTTCTCACCCTTCCAGCCATACATGTGCATTCATTCACTTAATAAATGTGTTTTATGTACCTAATTGGTTCCAGGTACATAGTTAGGCATTGGGCAATACAAATATGATACCTGCCTTTCAAAAGCTTCAGTTCAATGAGAGAAACAGACATATGAACAAATAAATTCAAACATTTTTGCAGAATTAAGAACAAGGTGGGATAGGAGTACAAAGGACAGAACAGAAATCTGCCTACAGGAATCAGAGAAGGCTTTACCAATGAAGGAACAATCACTGGCATTTGAAAGATGACTAGCTGTGGATAAGAGTGCATGTAGTCTATGACCTTGGAATAAAAGAAAGCTAACAGGTCCATATGGGGCTCTCCAATTCCCAAATATAGTTAGATAATTTTATCTATAGGTGAGTAAAGAACTCAAAATGAGCAGCTTGATAAAACTATTGGCCATTAGAGTAGTACAGCAGAAAAATGCCCTTGTCAAGTCATTACAGAGATTGGGGATAATTAAAATGGATATTTAAATCAACATTCATTCATTCAACAATTTTTTGAGTGTCCATTACATATTAAGAACTATCTGAAGATATAACAATAAACAAAACCAACCAAATCTCTGCCTTCATGGAGTTTACATTTCAGTGCCAGATTCAAACAATAAACAAATATATTATATAGTATTAGAGATAAGAACTACGATGAAAAATAAAGCAGGAAAAGAAGTAGAGAGTGTTGGGCTATTATTTGAGGTATGAAAGTCAGTAAAGGTTTGACTGAAAGGAATATTTGAGCAGAGGCCTGAATAAGGCAATCTAGACATGTCTTGGGTCAATTATTCAACTTCACAGACTAGGAAAACACATTTTCAGACATTGCTGACTTCACCAAACTGGCCCTTTACTAAAGTGATGATTAACTGACCCTTTCCATTTATTTTATCTTGATTATTTGACCATGTGTAATTGGTCCCATGGTAGGTAGGTTAAGATTCAGACTACATATAATTTCTCTGATAATCATTAGCTAATCCTGGGTTTAGTTATTAACTAAAGGTCTGCTCTTTCTCTTGCTCATGTGACCTTGTTTACATTTCTCCTTCAGTCCCAGCTGGATTTATCTCCCCATAATGTTAAATACCATCCAAAATATGATGTTTCACCCAAGTAGCTAAAAGCAGAATGCAGTCAAAGCCTCAATTTCCCTTCTGTTATCTCCAGAGTTAGGATTGAGGAGTGAAACCAAAGAAAAATTAAAGCTACTATCTTCAGCTAGAAAATGACTAAGGCTCCTCTTCATGTTTAGGAAAGGATACTTTCCTAAGAATGAGAAGAGTAGAACAGTGATAAAAATCTCAACAAACATGCTAAAATAGGAATCCCATGAGATTATGAAATAATCTCAGTGGAGAACTGAGAGTGAAAGGTAAAAACCAAAGCTTATATTTGGAAACTCTTAAATTGTTGTCCTGCCTTCTCTTCCATATATTCGTCTACATTCCTCTAACTCCTGACCAAGTCAACGGTATGGTAAGCATCAGAAAAAGTTAACTATTGAGATGTATATCATCAGTAAAGAAAGCAATCAGAGCAGCCCATTTCTGTCCATTGTGCACAAATGCAGTCTAAAGAGAACTTTTGATAAAGACATAAGATGCCATTAGAACTTGCCTGGAGAATCAGAGTTTTTTCACTTTTGTTTCTCATACCTGAGAGATGTGACTAAAATGCTGCAAAGCTGTCTCCACAGGGTTTTTGAAGTACATCTTCTCCTGAGGTTTCATCTATGAAGAGAGTAACACAGACATTGAGTATATCCACAATGGAATGAAATAAAATACTGGCAAATATGGCAAAGGATGTACCACCCCTTCCAAAAGCACCTGACATTATTTCATTGTGCTATATGTCTTAAGTATCCTTACCCAGTGCTTCTGTAAAAATAGCCACAAATAATTATTTTATCTCTTGCTTACCCTATTTTTTACAATTGCTACTAGTGAATTTTGTTTGTTTCTTTTCCTTTTTTTTTAAAAAAAATTTCAATGCTTAATCACTTATCAACTATACTCTTTGTATACTCCCTACAGGCTAGGAATGGAATAAAATGGTTGGTGGGAGGGGAAGAAAAACTTACTTTATCAGAAAGAGCCAGATGCTTGCAAGCAGCTCCACAAACAGAACATTTTTCTAGGGAGAAAAGGGGAAATAAATGCTTCGTTTTCATGGATAAGAGGTAAGATTTTCCCAAAGTACATGGTAATAGTCAAGTAGGCTATCAAGAGGAGACAAAATTTAGAATATCATTTGCTATAAAAGGACATCAACTTGAGCTCTGTTCTCTAAATTAGTATTTCCAAACTTGTATGTTGATGCCAAGTAAGACTTTCACACTGTGTAAGACTTTCACACCTATGTAAAATGTGTCATTTTACTTATCATCCAATCCCAGAGGTCCCTCCTCCCCCGCTTTGCTTTCTGCCCCCTCCCTAATCTATCACCAATGGATTTCATATAACCCACTTACATCTTCTCTTTAGATTGTAAGGTATAAAATAAGGTGCAAAATTGCCATTCTCTGGAGCATTTTGTCAATCCGTTGAGATTCTGTCCCTGGCATTTGTTGATAGTTTGGCTCAAATAAACTCACAAAAATTCTCTATAGGTTTGAATGTTTCTTACATTGACCTCTATCTAGCTCCCTCTTTATAATTTCCCAATTTTCTTCTGTGGGTGAGGGACAGTTCTAGCGTCCCAACAGGAGTACTGAAGGACATTTATGAGAGTACTGGAAAGGGTGGAAGAGTACCAATGATTTCAACTTTAAGTTATTCTTTATTATCCCACCTACCTGACAGTAAGCACAGATCAGATACTATAAGACACCTCCCAATTATTCCTGCTCTGTTCTTACTTTGCTAATTTTTTTGTATCATGTTTTGAAGCTCTCCTACTTTCATTCTCTAATTAACCCATTCTGAAAGGTGAGAAAATTAAAAACTCTGAATCTTTCCTTATAAGTTGAAATTTTAGAGGTAGCACTGGTTATTGATTAAGATAAATGCCATGTCAGGCCCTAGCTGGTTTGGTTTAGTGGATAGAGCATCGGCCTGCGGACTGAAGGGTTCCAGTTTCGATTCTGGTCAAGAACACATTTGGGGGTTTGGGGCTTGATCCTCGGTGGGGGAGGTGCAGGAGGCAGCCAGTAAATAATTCTCTCTCATCATTGATGTTTCTCTCTTTCCCTCTCCCTTCCTCTCTGAAATCAATAAAGATATATATATAAAAAAAAAAAGATAAATGCCATGTCAGGAGAAAGCATCACATGGCATATGCTTCACTGAGACAAACAGCTCCAAACTGAGCTGCTGTTACCATAGTCAACAGCTTTATTTCATTAACAGATAATTTAAAAGGGTCATGAGATTCATATAGAGCAGTGATTTTCAACCTTTTTCATCTCATGGCACACATATTAATTACTAAAATTTTGTGGCACACCAAAAGATAATTATTTTTTGTCAATTCAGACAAAAATATAGGTATAATTTTGATTCATTCATACTGGATGGCTATTGTTGTGTTGGCTGTTGTATTTTTTTTTTTTTTTTTTTTTAGTTGACAATCTAAGGGAAAAGAGGTTAGTGCCCCTGACTAAATAGTCAGGAAGTGCAGGTTTAAAAAATTCTTGCAGCACAACAGTTGAAAATCGCTGGTATACAGAAAAAGCTTCTCCAGAGGCTATCTAACCTGACTCTTCTTTCTCAGGAATTAAAGATTTTTCCCTGACTTCCCTCCATATTATTGCTAGAGTGAGGTAACGAGTACAAATCATTTTTCTATTTAAGAAAAACAAAACAAACAAACTTCGACAACTCTCCATCACCTGCAGTAAGAAGTTCAGTTTCTTTAATCCAGAATATAGAGCCTTCCATTATCTGGCCACTGCCTACCTGTCTAGCCTCATCTATCACCAATCTTACAAAAAAACAAAAAACAAACAAACTTCAACAACTCTCCATCACCTGCAGTAAGAAGTTCAGTTTCTTTAATCCAGAATATAGAGAGTTAGAAACATCGGATCAGTGCCTACCTGTCTAGCCTCATCTACTGGGGATGTGCCCGCAACCCAGGTACATGCCCTTGACCGGAATCGAACCTGGGACCTTTCAGTCCGCAGGCTGACGCTCTATCCACTGAGCCAAACCGGTTTTGGCGCATCTTCCCTGCATAGCCACTTGGCAAACTCCAGTTTATTATTCAAAACTCTATTGAAACAATACCTCTGCTATAAAATCTTTCCTGACCAAAGCACCCTATCCTAAGACCCTCTTCTGGGTTACTCCATACCCTGTATTTTAGCATTAAAAAAACAAAACGAAGCCCTAGCCAGTTTGGCTCAGTGGATAGAGCGTTGGCCTGCGGACTGAAGGGTCCCAGGTTCAGTTCTGATCAAGGGCACATACCCGGCTTGTGGGCTCGATCCCCAGTGGGGGACGTGCAGGAGACAGCTGGTCAATGATTCTCTCTCATCATCAATATTTCTATCTCTCCCTCTCCCTTCCTCTCTCTGAAATCAATAAAAATATATTTAAAAACCAAACCAAAACAAAACAAAAAACACCTTAAATTCAAGTCTCATTTCTAAGACTTAATAGCTGCAAGAACTTGGTCAAATCACTTATCCTATCTGAGACAGTTCCTCATTTGTAAAGTGGGTCTATTAATAATTACCTTGTGAGCCCTAGTTGGTTTTTCTCAGTGGTTAGAGCATCGGCCAGCTGACTGAAGGGTCCTGCGTTCCATTCCGATCCAGGGCACATACCTGGGTTGCAGGCTTGATCCCCAGCCCCTGGCCAGGGCAGATGCAGGAGGCAACCAACCGGTGTACGTCTCTCCCCTCTCCCCCTCCCTCCCACTCGCTCTAAAAATCAATGGGAAAAATATCCTCGGGTGAGGATTAACAAAAAACAAATAATTACCTTGTGCATGAAAAGGAGCCACATGCTAACCTGACTAGTCTAGGGAAGGCCTGCAAGGCGGCCTTGCAAACTCAGAGACCTAAAGTAACCACAAAGGATGTTCTAAAATTAAAAGTTTTTAACTAAAAGCAGTTTAGGACAGATAGTCATGTCCTAGGTTAAAATCTTTCCTGACAAAAAGCAATCTTTACCTTAACTGAGCGTATTGTCTTTTGCAAGTACTACATAACCTACCTTTGGAATGTCAGGGTAACTCCCCTTTTTCCAGACCCCTGGGGCACAAACAGGGTGGAGACCATAAATCCTCTAATTGTTATTGTTATCATGTTAATTGTTGACTGTTAACTATACTGTATCCACCTACTAAAATGTCTGTCATTTTACTTAACATCCAATTCCAGAGGTCTCCCCTCCCCCGATTTGCTTTCTCCCCCCTCCCTAATCCATCACCAATGGATTTCATATAACCCACTTACATCTTCTCTTTAGATTGTAAGGTATAAAATAAGGTGCAAAATTGCCATTTTCTGGAGCATTTTGTCAATCCGTTGAGATTCTGTTCCCGGCATTTGTTGATAGTTTGGCTCAAATAAATTCACAAAAATTCTCTATAGGTTTGAATGTTTCTTACATTGACAACCTCATGGGATTATGGTGAGAATACATAAAATGGTACATTTGAAAATACTCTTTAAACTGCAAAGGTATCACCACTACCACCACCATCATAATCATTTCTAATAAAATTGATTTCACAGGCTAGACCACTTCCAATTAGAAATGGCTCTTGCTATCAAGCAAAGTTTCCCCCATTCCTTCTTGTTATTTTTTTTTAATCTTTTCTTTAATCAGTCTGATAATCTTGTGGCTTTCTCACTGCTATAGGTTTCAAAACACTGACAAGTATGTTTTGGTGCTCAAGTAATGGGTATTCCATTCGCTAAATCATTTTTTATTAATAGATTTCTCCAATATCCATAATCAACACTTTCCTACTGTATCCACACCACCTTTGGCTACTAAGTCATTTTTATCCCAAGTTTCACAGAGAAATGGCTAATCATTTCCAAGTTAAAAGCCTGAATCTGAAAACAGTTAAATTACTCACCCAGAGTCACGCACTTTTTACAGAAAATATGGCCACAGCTGGTGACAAAGTAATGGGTCCCATCTTTTCGGAAACACCGGTTGCAATGAAACCAATCCATTCTGGAGGAGATAAAGAAAAAAAGTAAGAATCACCTGGGTCAGAATAGAATTTACATAACAATGTTTGGTTATATGGGCATATTATTGTGGATATTCCAACTGGTTGTAAGGAAGTTACATGTGGCTCTGCAGTGAAAAAAGCAAACTGCAGACTATAAACAAACCCACTTACATCTCCTTTTGTTGTTGTTTTTAAGCCTCACCTGAGAATATCTTTTCCATTGATTTTTAGTGAAAGTGGAAGGGAGGAAGGAAGGAGGACAGAGAGAGAAACATGGATGTGAAACACATCGATTGGTTGCTTCCGGAACTTGCCCCTGGGGGGCCGGAGAACGAACCTGCAACCCAGGTACTGCCCCTAACCTTCTGCAGTACCACTAACTGTGTAGTATTAGTAGTGTGGTAGTTTCCTCCCCTACCGTATCGCTTTTCACAAGGTTTGCTCCCCCAGACCTTTCCTCCCTGGAGATAATATCTATTTCAGCTCCAGGCCCAGATAAGCAATAAAACCAGCCACAGCTGACATCAGAACCAGCTGCATTGAATAATGACAAGCCAGCCCTGGTGCCGGCCAATCAATCAGTGGAGACCACAGTCCTGAATGGGCACACCTGGAAAGCTAATGAATATTCTATTAAGATCTTTCCCTGGGACCTCCCCTAAAATCTCCGCCCGTAATAGCTTTAGGATAGAGGACCCAGTATGATCTCCCTCCCGGGCCTTTCCCTTTCCCTCCCTCTGCCCCCTAGGCACTTTACCATTAGCGTCCTCACTCCCAAGCTCCAATGGCCCTTCCTTTACCTCTATAACTTGTTTTCTAAGCCCATTTTTTTTCTAGGAATTGCTTTTTCTACTTCTGTAATTCACCCATTAAATGTTCTCTTACAGTTTGGGTCTTGCTCTGAATTCTTTCCCAGCCAGAACCTGTTAGGTCTGATCAAATAATTGAATCAACACCCCATCCCCTGGGAACTGACCTTTAGCCCACTTCACCACCAACATTCCCTTTTGCTTAGACCGCATTTCACTTGCTAAGACTACACTCTACTAGGTGAGGCCGGGGGAATGTCAAGGGGGGTGGGGGGAGACATATGTAATACTCTTTGTAATAAAACAAAATTAAAAAAAAAAAAAAGACCACACTCTACTAGCTAAAATCATTATCTTTCCCCTCAGGGCTCGCCCAGAGAATTCTCTGCCCAGAAAAGCCTGCCTAGAGTCCTTTAAAATCTCTGACTCCCTGCTCCTAAGTGCTGGCGCCATTTGGGGGGTTTTCCAGATGACCTAATAAATTCATAATCCTTTATCCCTTTTGGTCTCGTGCATTCCTCCTTCGGTGACCCTAACAGAACCCAAATACCGAGGTTGCTGAACCCAGGTTTGGTCTGACCCCCTGGGTCATACACCTGGCGCTGTTCCTGCCGCCTACAGCAAAAGCAGTTATGGTGGGTAGTCACGGCCTAGGCTGGTATCTTCCCTGACACAGGTCAATCTTTACCTTAATTAAGCCTATCTACAGTCTTTTGCATCTACGATAACATTCCTTTGGAAAGTCAGGGTAACTCCCCTTTTTCCAGACCCTACAAGGCACAACCAGGGCAGAGATCATAAATCCTCTCATTGTTTTATCATGTTAATTCTTGACTGTTAACTATCCTGTATCCACCTTTGTAAAAGATATATGATTATATCATTTTACTTTTTATCCAATCCCAAAGGTTTCCTTGCTTTGCTTTCTCCTGCCTCCCTAATGAGTTTCATGTAACCCACTTACATCTCCTTTTTTTATTATAATGTATAAAATAAGGTGCAACAAAACTGACATTTTCTGGAGCATTATCTCAATCCATTGAGATTCTGCTTCCCGGCACTTGTCAACAGTTTGGCTCAAACTCACAAAAATTCTCTACAGGTTTGAATGTTTCTTACATTAACAAAAGTAATAGGACAATGATGTGATTTTAAGTGTGTGTGTGTGTGTGTGTGTGTGTTATCTCCCCACCCCCCCCCACCCCCCCCCCAGTCCTGATAGATTTCTGTGGGGGGTTTTCCTGTGAGTGATCATGGGCGGGCACCAGGAGGGGTCCTTCCAGAGGCCCAGTCGTCATAGGCGCCTCTGCATAATTAATGTGTGCGTGTTCTCTTTACACTTTCTTATTTTTCAAGTTTTCTGGATTAATTCATAATTAATCTTTTAATTTAAAAACCCCATCAATTTCTTTCCTAATAGTTTCCTATGATATTGTAAGATGGAACCAAATATAAATCACAAAGTGGCCCCTTGGGACACATTTTAACTAAGGGAAACATGGTTTATGAGTGATGTTTTCTCAGCTTGTACTTGTTAGTTCTGATCAAATAATCAAATTTATACACACATACCCAGGAAACTGACCTTTAGACCATTTTCCCTTTTGCTTAGACCGAATTTGCTAAGACCATTAACTTTCCTCTCCAGACTTGCCTAGAATCTGGACCCGCCAAGATAATTCCTGGACAAAAAAGCCCGCCTAGAGTCCTTTAAAATCTCTAACTCCCTGGTCCCTGGGTGCCGATGCCGCTTTGGGGCTCAGCCCATCTGGCTTCCAGATAAACTAATCTATAATAATCTATAATAATAAAAGCATAATATGCTAATTAGACAGGACCTTCCGGATGTCATTCCGGACGTCCTTCCGGACGAAGCTGTGGCAGCAGGGGCCAAGGCAGAGGTGGTTAGGGGCGATCAAGCAGGCAGGCAGAGTGGTTAGGGGTGATCAGGCAGGCAGGCAGTGGTTAGGAGCCAGCAGTCCCAGATTGTGAGAGGGGTCCCGGATTGCGGAGATGTGCAGGCCAGGCTGAGGGACGCCTCCACTCCCCCCTCCCTCGTGCACAAATTTTATGCACCGGGTCTCTAGTAAATTCATAATTCTTTACCTCTTTTGGCCTCCTGCATACCTCCTTTGGCGATCCTCACAGTACTCTTTCCCTTCTACTCTACAGAAACTCAGAATCATAGATCTGGAAGAGGCCTTGAAGATCATTTACATTTTGTCTAATTCCATCATCTTTCTTTTTTTTTAATATATTTTTATTGATTTCAGAGAGGAAGGGAGAGGGAGACAGAAACATCAATGATGAGAATCATTGATCTGCTGCCTCCTGCACGCCCCCTACTGGGAATGCAGCCTGCAACCCTGGCATGTGCCCTGGAGGGCAATCAAACCTGGACCTTTTAGTCTGCAGGTGGACGTTCTATTCACTGAGCCAAACTGGCTAGGGCCAATTCCATCATTTTTCAAAAGCTGTAGCTGAGCCCTGACCAGTTTGGCTCAGTGGATAGAGCATCGGCCTGCGGACTCAAGGGTCCCAGGTTCGATTCCGGTCAAGGGCATGTACCTTGGTTGTGGGCACATCCCCAATAGGGAGTGTGCAGGAGGCAGCTGATCGATGTTTCTCTCTCATCGATGTTTCTAACTCTCTATCCCTCTCCCTTCCTCTCTGTAAAAAATCAGTAAAATATATATATTTAAAAAAAAAAAGCTGTAGCTGATATTCACTAAAATTCAATGACTTGTCCAAAGTTCCATTTTATTTAGTGGCAGCTCTGGGATTAGAACCCAAGTCTTCTTATTCCCTGTGTCAAGTTTTTGCTATCACATTAAGTCTCTGTGTTTCTGTGTTAGAAATGCAACCATATTTTCTGTCAATACTAATTCCATATAATTTGCTAAGTATGTAACTATGTAAATGTGACTTTGTAAGATTTTTATTTTTATTTATTTTTAAAAATATATTTTTATTGATTTCAGAGAGGAAGGAAGAGGGAGAGAGAGATAGAAACATCAATGATGAGAGAGAATCATTGCTCGGCTGTCTCCTGCACGCCCTCGACGACGGATCGAGCCTGCAACCCCGGCATGTGCCCTTGACCGAAATGGAACCCAGGACCTTTCAGTCCGCAGGCCCATGCTCTATCCTCTGAGCCAAACCGGGTAGGGCTGTAAGATTTTTAAATGAAGAAATTGACATGTCAAAAATACAGAACTGCGTTAATACATACTCAGCTGTAATTACTTTATATGTTTAATGAATTCATACGCTTAAGTTCATGAATAAGCTATTTAAGAATATAATATCGGCCCACGTGGCCCGCAAGTCCTCCCAGCCCCTGGCCGCCCCGCCCCGCCCCGCCCTGGGGTGTCGACCCCGTAGCCGTAGCCGCAGCGCCGCCCAGCGGCTGCGACCAGCACCACCTGCGGTGCGCTCTCCAGCCCCGTGGGGCCCAGCCCGCCCAGGCGCGAGAAAGGAGACCTGGGCCTGCCATGCCGTCTGCGGAGAATTCCACAGGAACGGGTCAGTGTGTCTTCAGAGGCACGGAAAAAACAAGAAAAGGCCCACATGACAGCAGCAAAACAACTTGCCCACGTGTCCGTCTCCTGGCGCCTGGAATTTCAGAGGGCGGAAACGGAAGCGGAAGCGGAGCGCCCGAGATGAAGATGCTGTTAGCTTTTGTAGGCTGGACGTACGTGGAGGAAGGCAAGGAGCCAGGATGCTGACCGAATTTTATAATTATCAAGAATCTTCAAAAGCAGTATGATCTGTAAGATCTGGTAATTCTATACCTGCCTGTAAATGGTTCAAAGGCCTACCTTTTAAGCAAATCTGGGTTTGAATCATAGGTCCTGCCATTGCGACTTCAAAGAAGTTGTGGAGCCTGTCGGAGCCTCGGGTTCCTCAGCTATAAAGGGCGTCATTAGTAGATCTGAACTCACAGGGCTATCATGAGGATTAAAGGAGATGATGCTTTAAAATTTTTTTTTAAAAAATAGATCTACTAGTTTGATTTCCTTTGAAATAAAATTGGGAAAATAATAAAATAAAAAAAAGGTATCGTTTCCGCCTACCGAAGTCTTTTCTCTAAAAAAAGTTTTAAAATAGTTCATGGAGAGGTTTGCCAAAAGAATGACGGCTAGTTTGCACCACACTAGATTTTTTTCACATAAGGTGAAGTTCACGA